TAAAAAGCATTGTTTCGTGGATTAAATTTGATTCAGTATTTACCTCAATTTTAATATTTGAGAAATTTCCTATTTTAATGTTACTTTCAGAAAAATATATAAGTCGAAGACTTTAAGAGTCGACTCTGTTGACTAGATACAAAACCCTTTCTTTGTATATCAACAATTGCCATTTCTCAGTTTAATTTTTCCGGATTCCATGTCACAGCTCTCTTCAGGGTATATTGCAGTCAGGCTGAGCTCATTAGGCTACGTTTGTTTTTGTTGAATTAACAAAGTTTATACTCTGCCTGTGTGTGCCTTTGGCATGTGAGAGTGCGAGAGTGTGCGAGTGTTTGTTTGAGCAGCTCATTTAAAATGCAATTTTCGCATATAAATTTTGACAAGAACATTTTTTAACAAATAATCAACCTGCGTCTACTTCTGTGTAGGTTGGCATCGAAAAATTATTTAAATGCCTCACATTTCCTTTTTGTTTTTTTTTTTTTTTTCCCGTTTGGTGTATGCCAAAGCGTGGGATCTTTAGACAGTTTAGACAGTCGGCTGTATAGCAGGCCTCTTTTGAGTGTTTCGAGACCAGTCTGGAGATCTTCTATATGTGCGTATGCGTGTGTGAATATGTCTCAAAGTGTTGTGCGTGCTGCCAGTCGGCAATTTTTATTGACAATTGTCCGTTCTACAGGGCTTAAAAGACGAAAACTTGGAATATTATCAGTTTCTCGTGCTCCGCATGCTAATGAGAGACGGTGCGCGGATGGGTAGTGTAAGCGAGAGAGAGAGAGGTCTATAAAACATTAAGCAACAGAAGAAAACAATTCACAGAACTCAGCTGCTATAACAATTCTCTCTCGTTCTCCCTCTATACCTCTCTCTTTCTTTCTTTCTAACTCTTTTTGATCCCCGTCGAAATTGTGGCGCGTTTATTTTTCATGGGGGCTTCTGTCACGTTGTTTGTGTTGTGAATTTGCGGTACGTCGAACTATATGAAAAAGTAACCAGAATTATTAGCGGGCTGTTAAAATTTGTATACCCTTATAGATATTTTCAAATGCTTGATTTTATTTTAGAATTATATTATATGGATAATAAACATTTCTTCTAGATAAAGTAAATAAGTTTTTTTTTTTTTGTTACATAGTCTCTAAGGCAAATATAAGTCAAACCTATCCAATTTATTTAATTTTGATTAATGCTCTATAAAAGTATTATAATGAGATGAGCCTCTACAAAAAGTTGCATTAAGATAGCTCAATTGCAGTCTGCAGCCTGAGTTCATCTAGGTACAAGTGGAAGATCGTGACCCCAAGTGCTCTTACAATGCAGGGGTTACTTAAGCCATAACAATATCATAATACCCTCTACCCTACAGCATGGAATACTTCATTTATTATTGTCAAAATATGCTCAGCTAGAGGAGCTCACGTTTTAATTTTTTTATAATGTCACTAATTTATTGTACGTGCTGCACTACAAAGCACACACACAACTCGAACCGTTGTTCCCGACTTTTCGATGCGACCCATTTAGGTGTTTTTAATAATAACATGAAATGGAACAGTAAAGGCAGGAGGAGACGGAGGAGAAGGAGGAGGAGGCATGGGGCTCTATCGCGACTGTTTGCATTTCAATTAGGGGGCGCCCTCTTGCCGTCTTAAGAAAAACGAAAAGTTCACATGACACTTTTTCTGGCAGTTTGTCAATTTGAAAATTAGACAGTTGCTGACTTGAAAGCTGGCATTTAGTCTGTCTATTGAAATGGGTCGGTTTTATGGCCCGAACAATTGGTAAATATAATTATATTACCCAAATATGCAGTTGATGTTCACACGGTATTCCAAGCATTTGCCCTCCTCCATCTCAGTTCTTTCACACTCTGTAAATTGAAGGAGTAATGGAATTCTGTATGCAAATGACTTTGATCCGATGCGAAGCAAGTTTACAGTTTATTATGTGAATTATTGATAAGTTGGGCTTGTGATTAGTAAGCTTGCAAGTAAATGAACGTAGGCGGTATACCCTTTGTTTTTTTTTTTTTTTTTTTTTTTTTTTTTAAGAGTATAGGACAATATTAGATACTTTATAAAGCCCAAAGCCTTTGGCCTATAATCTATAATATTTTTAATAGATTTTTCGACATGTTTATATTTTATACAGGGTACCTTATACATATTTTTTTTCACCCTTTACTAACTCCAATACCATTTATTTTTAATATAAACTTAATTTGCAATTAACCAAGTCTTTTCTTCAGTTTATTTTATAGTCACATATATGGGGTATTTTATAATAAAATTTAAGCGTCATTTCACATTAAACTGTATTTTTTTTAATGCTGTGAGTTAATTGGTAAATATATATTTTACTATATATACTCTTTTACAGGGTATTCTTTAGTAATATTTATTTTTAATATTCTCTGCCCTTTAGCAACTCTAATACCATTTAACACTATCTTTATTAAGGCGTAAATCAAATAATAAAACTCACAAATTTTTCAAATTACTCGACCGTTTGACTGGGATCAACTGCCGATCTGAAGACGCACAGAATGCCAAGTGCATTAAATTTATGATCGAAACGAAAGCAACTCAGCCCGATTCACTCCGCCTCCGGCTCACTGCTAGTGGCAAACAAACAAGTGCGCTGATTAGAGGCTTATCAATGATAATGCCACTGTTTGCGCTTCGCTCTACACTCTTGGCTCTGTGTGAATAAGTCAGCTGCTTGTCAAATATTTGTGTGCAGCCATCAATGCCAGAGCCGAATTCGAATCCGTTCGCAAAGAGCGGGCGAATGAACCGCGTATAAAAATATTTGTTTACTGATTAGGCAGACAGACAGAAAGACGGACTGAAAGACAGACAGACAGACAGTTAGATAGATAGACCAACGAGTAGAGTCAAGTCGAGTCGAGTTGAGTTGAGTCGAGTGCACTCACTTGCACTTTCCATACGAGATTAGCGATTAGGCTGATTTGTTGGGGTCTTTGGGTGGAGGTTCAGCTTGTGATCTCTAAGGTTCACTAACTCGTGTCGCTCACTTGCTAATTGCAACATGAGACGTGATGTCAATGCTGTTGCCTCTGCTGCCGCTGCTGCTGGCCATTAGAGTTCGTCGTCTGCTTGCCACACGCTCAGCTTTCGCTTAGCTGCGATCGTTTGCGGTTGCCACAAAATGTAAACGTATCAATGCAGATGCCAGCTCGGTTGCATGTGCAACGCACTCAAGCGTTGTAATTTGCAATTTTATGCGTTTTATCTCCATGTTATAGACATATATATGTATATCTATCTATGTATCTATGTATCTGTATCTATGACATTTGCTGTGCGGCCAATGCACGCAGCGGTCGCAGCAGCCTTGCCACATGGCAAGACCACATATTTGCTGCCTTTGCGGTTGCTCTGCTTGACTCGCCGCACAGCCCTAATGGAGCTCCAGTGTCTTAGCTGATGATTAGCTCTATAGAAGCTGGAAATGTCTCTAATGTTTATAAGTGCAAATAATTTATGAAAATTGCAAAAGAGATTAGAGGAATATTTTACGGGCTGGATGTGAACTCTGAAGAACGTTAAGTTAGCTAAAAATAAAATTTAAGATGAATAGAATTGATGAAGATTAAATCATTTCAGCTTACACTGCTGCTCATATATATAGAGATTTCTGATATATATAGATACTTTCAACTCCTTTTAAGTAAGGACTATCATTTCCTTACCGACTGTACTTGCAATGCTTAGGCAATGACACCTACTCTCTAGCCGGAAACTGCGTCGCATTAAATTCAACAATAAGCCAAGCGCATTGACATTCATGCGCCTATCAACTGGTCGTCATCAGAGCAGGCACTGATGAAAATTACATTCAATTAATGCAGAGCCAAGCAGAGTAAAGGTACGCGCCCATAAAGGACGCACAGAGGCAGATGTTTAGCTAGGTAAAGGTATATAGATAAAGAGAGAGGGAGAGAGAGATAGGCCGACAAACCTGTGCCGGCTCCAACAAAAGGACAGGCAGCCTGTCGAACAGCGCGCCAAATGCAGGACGACGCCTATAATAATACAGGACAAGAACCTTTCAGAGCGACGCGCCAATATCCTTAGCAGGACAGTTAGGTACAGGCTGATCGACAGATGTTTCCAGACAGAAATACCAAAGCAGGTCATTGCCTGCTGCTGCTGCTGCTGCTGCTTTAAGGATACGCTGCATTGGTCCCGAAATGTATCTTAAAGATACACAAAGCAGCTGCCACACTTGAAGATCAGGCTGTTTACAAATCGAACACAGCACCGTCTCCTGCCCTTGTCTCGCCCGAGCGCATTCGCTGAAAGTGGTTGCCACTGGCTCCGATTACAGGCCGTGCGCACTTCTAGACGCAGATACACAGATACACAGCTACAGATGCTGGCAGAGCCACAGCTATAGCTATAGCTATAGTTGTTCCTATAGGCACCCCATTACTCTTGCTGCTGCTGCTGCTGCCGTTGCTGTTTTGTTTATAAATAGTTGGCCGTGAACTTTCTTTTGATGTGCCTGAGGCTTGCTAAAAGATTTTTGTTCGCCTTCAACAGGAAAAATTTGTATTTATGAAAAGCAAATCAAGAAAATCGATCGACGCGTAATTTGAGAAGTTTCGAGCCACAAGGAAATTCGGCGCGGCTTYGGAGTTCTTGTTTTGTTTTGTTTCTCTGAGACAGGGTTGAAGAATAAATTATTTTCCAAATGCCATTTGATTTGATTAATTGGCTGAAGTTTGATGAGCAGCTTGGAAAATGTATTAAGAAAATGAAAAGATCTTCTGGGTAAGCAGGTAGCTTTGATCCACATGCATATTTCTATCAGCGGGTGGCTCTTGGGTTTTTTAGTTTTATTTCACATTTCCACAATCTGTGTAAATCGATTCTGGGAATGCTTCATTTATAATTCATACAGCGGAATGTTTCTCAATTACTTTATAAGGCTACGTGCTATGAGTGTGTGTGTGAGTATAATTATCTTACCTCCTCGTAGGTATTCTCCCGGGAACTCGATTGAGTGCTGCTCGCGATTGAGCGACGAAACATTTCGCTGTGTTTTTTTTTTTTGTATTCGCAGGAGTAGAAAAGAAAGAGATGTAATGAGAACAAATATTTAAAATATGACAACTGTTATTTAGTATTAATATATAGATATGGGTGTACAAGAATTTTATATGAATAAATATAAAATAGAATATAATAGGAAATATAATAACAAATGAAATTAGTAAGCAGATGATGTCTTGAAAGATAGATATATATAAAATTACTTCTGGCTTTAATAGCCATTTTAGCTATTATCTATAATACAAACTTTCATTTATCGTCCCCGAAAATATGCTTATCAAGATCGTTTACGTATTAATTAATTTGTAGGACAGCCGAAAACTCTTTCATCTGCTCTGCCTCTTCTCCCCCTGTCCTATGTCGACTCCCAGCCGCACGATCCAAAAATCTGTTGCTGTTTCGAATTCTAATGCGACACGTCTAATATCCATTAAATGCCAATTAGTCGTCGTTGTCTGCATGGAGACCGAGCGCCGTGTCCAATGTAATGCCAAATGCGACCCACACGCGAACAATTAGCATAATTTATTAATATTGGGCGATCTGGGCACAGCGAACTTCAAAGTTTTCAAGCAAATAAACTTGTGTAAAAAAAACCTCACATTTCATAAGCGAGAAAAGTGAACGACTAATAAATACGCTTACTAGAATTGAGTTTAATGTGGCTAGATTTCTGGTTATGAAAAGTTAGTAACTTGGTTTGAATAAGATAAATGAAATAAATAAATATTAAAATTAACATAAATAAATTACATACAATTTCAATTTCGAAACGAATGATTGTATATGTTAAGAAAAGTTGTTAAAATAAATAAAAGATTAGATTGAATACTTAAGATTTTAAGAGAGATGCAAAAGAGCTGCATTATTATTATATTATCCTTATTATGTATGACATATACATAGAGATATAAAGATGTCGAATTCCGCTTGTAACGATATATATACGTACATATATTATGTCAGCGAAGGACAGAAACCTAGGTAAAATTCAAGTTAGTCTACAGGTAAGAGGGAGTCGACTTTTGATCTATGTACATAATAGCAATTATTTTCCTCTGCTACATACATATTAGGTATGTTACATATTCCCTAATATTTGTCTAATACTCTCACGAAATTATACACGTATTATAAAATCCAAGTTGAAGCTGCTAAATTGTTTACCTTAAACGCTGGCAGGCTGTGGGCGTGTTGACAGTGAGATTGGTCCTTGAATCGCTCAGATGGGCGATCGAGTTGCATAAGCTATTGTTCATGTTGCTGTTGTTGTTGTTGTTGTTATTCAGCATTATATGATTGTTGTTGCTGCTGCTGTTGTTGTTGTTGTTGTTGTTATTGTTCAGCTTGGTCGTGTGACCGGAGGCAACAGCCAGCACCGTGGCGGGCATCTTGTTAGCTTCAAGCTGCCCAAATATGGCGCCTCTCATTAACCCGTCTTTTGGGGTTGGGTTTGGCAGTGTTGTTGCTGTTGTTGTTGCTGCTGATGTTGCTAATGTTGCTGCAGCCCACACGACAACGGCACACGAACGCGTTGCCCAATTTGGACTGTTCAGCTGATTGCAAGTTTTTGTTTGTTTGTTTTCTTTTTATTATCTTTCGATATATTAGATGTGGTTGGTTTGTTTTTGTTTTTTTTTTTTAATTTATGTGCATTAACTAAAATGTTGCTAATTTCTGCGTTTGTTTAGCGCCATTTTTGGCTAAAAGAATGGAGCCAGATAAATCAGCTTGACATCAACTGAGCAGCGCACGCAGCACACGTCGTCTAATTAACTCGTTGCCAAAATCAAAATCTCAACTCAGCGGGTGGCTGAGGTGTTGTTATCGCCATTTAAGGTGTTCCCAACAATTATGACGCAATATAATTCTCTTTAGCGCGGACACAAACCGAAACACATAGACACACACGAACACACAGGTGACACAGGTGCAGCATGTGGCAAGTTTGACAACAAGTTCGACTTCTTGCTGCGCCGATAACTAAAACAAAACTGATTTATGCCTGTCACAAGGCGGCACAGTGCAGTCCATGACAGCGCCAACTGCTGCTGTCGCTGCTGCTGCTGGTGGTGCTGCTACTGTTGCTGCTGTTGTTGCTGCTGCTGCTGTTGCTGCTGCTGTGGAGCGCTCCCCAATCCCGTTGCCAGTGGACGACAATTAGTTCTACATGTCGTCACACGTCGTAAGCCACAGGAAGCCACAAGAGAAGCAGCAGCAGCAACAGCAAACACGAGCAGCAACTGCAACAACAACAGCAGCTTCTGCTATAAGAACAACAACAGCAGCAGCAACAACAACAGCGTATTCAATAACAACAACAATCTCAACTACACTAGCAACAACAACAGCCACAGTAATCGTCAGCTTTTAAGGGGGGGCTCACTGTGGGGGGCTTGTCGCGCTTTGTCTGCACTTTCATCTTATTCTCAGTTCACTTGCGCACTTTGCTTTTGAAGCTCTCTATCTGCTGTTCATACTTATATTTATACTCGTCTTATTGAACCTCCCCCAGTTCCCTTTCCCCCTCTCTCACAGTCTCTTGCTATCTCTTTCCTTCTGTTGCGGTTGTGTAATGCGACAACAAAAAGCGATCAGATGTCCTTCTACGGATGTGCGCTTTGCTCATTCTTAATGATCTTCACTTCAGTTGCGAACAGCAGCAACAACAACTGCTACTACAACAACAGCAGCAACAACAACAACTTTGCCAAGTTGAAGCTATCAGAGCTGACAGCGAGAGTGAAAAGCTGTTGGATTGTGATATCTGAAGAAGCTGTCATAAATATGCTCAAATTTCCATATATCAAAAGTCAACAGGAAAGCAATTTTTTTTGGTATGTCTTTTTTGTTTTCGTTTTATTTTTACCTGCACAATTTTAATAAGATTTTTATTGAAGCCAAAGGGCTTGGATTCCATTAAAAGGAATATTTGACGCCAAAAATTGAAGGCAGTTTAATCAGCTTAAAATAATTACTGCCTATTGTAATTATTATTTTTATTTAAAAATATATTTTTCTTATTTATTTATTTTTAATATTAGTAATTTATGACTTATTAAAATATTAGTAATATTTGCTTTTTTTTAACATTTTGTCTTTTTTTATTATTATTTATGCCTTTCAATGTTGATATTTTAACAAAAAAAAAATACATTCTTTTATAAAATTTTATAAGAATTCTTATAATTAGCCATTATGAATGGTACTATGTTCCAATGTACATATATTTATTTATATTCCCAAAACTGGTCTCTAAATAATCTTTAGCATTTGGCATCACTATTGCTCTAACTGCAAACCGCTGTGTGTGGTGCTTACTAATCAAGCATCATGCCATTGCCCACTGCCCATTGCCCACTGCCAATTGCTCGTCCTTGTCATAATAGTGCCTCGTAAGGAGTGCATCTAGCATGCTCTCTGATGATAAACTACATTAATGCCCCTTAAGTATGCCCATGTATGCTAGGCCAGGCAATACGTGACAAGGGCTGCTGCCGAGTGGTGCCAGTCCAGCAACAGCAGCAACAGCAACAACTGCAGCTGTTGCAACTGGTAACTGCTTGTGCCACGTAATTGCAGTTGCTCACACTGTCATTTACCACTCAAAGCTGACTTTTTGTTGCAGCTAAATGATCAGCAGCTAGAAGTACTACTGCAGCAGCAACTGGCTAAAAACTTGTGCTGCTGGTTGCAGGTTGCTGGTTTGCTAGTTGCTGCTGTGTGCTGGCTCTTTGCATTGCTTTGGTTTCTGTGCCAGCAGATTCTAAAGGTCATTGCTAATAGCTGAGGCTGTCTGGACACGGCGACACTTCCGTTTCCACTTTGCGGTAACAGCCCTAAAGATCGGCTCAAAAAGCTGCCGCTGCCACTGCCGCTGGTGTGGCTGCTGCTGCTGCTGCTGCTGTTGCTGGCAGCAACATGCCCTGAAACACGATAGCAACAGGATGAGTTGCACGTCAACGGAAGTCAAACACTTTATGCAGACATTTTTTGTATTATTATAGAGATCTGCTTGTCTGTATATACCTTTTTATATATATTTAAAATCTCAACAGCTTTAGGCCAAGTCTCGAGCAGGTTCTGCTGCCAGCCTACGCTACTGGGCGCAACTATCGAAGAGATTGTTGCCAAATATTAAGCGACAGGTTCTCGTTTTGCGGTCACACCCAGTTCTGGTCACACTGTATTTGCAGCCACACTTAACTTGATGCCAAATTAGTTGTTCCGTGGCTGTTGTTGTTGTCGTTTGCTTCTTAGATCTGAATGCGGTCTATGCTCTGGCCAGGGACACGCTTGGCTGCAGCTGCTCAAAGAGCTGGCTAGAGAAGCTAGCCGAGTGCGTCCAAAGATATGGAAATCAGCCCGGCTGTCTGGCTGCTGAGTGACACGTGTTGCTCAGAGTTCAACCGAGTTCAGTGTATTAATCGATAGACAATGTATGTGCATCACTGGTGCACTGTTAGAAATAGTGATAGGTAAAATATTTAAAAGACATTCCAAAATATTTTAAAATACTTTTTTTTTGTTTATTTTATTTTATTTTATTTTATTTTATTCACGATGTTTTGCTATCGATTTGATGTCTCAAATTGTTCTTCATATATTTATTTTTAACGTGTAGTATACTAGATGATGAAATATGACAACAATTATAGGGCACTATTTCTTGCTTAAAGTGTAAATTGTATTTAAAGCCTTTTAATATTTTAAAAATATTTTTGTATAGTCTATGCAATGTATGTATATTCATATTGTTAAAAAAAATATTAAAAATTTTAAAATCCTGATTGAATATATTAAAAATTTAAATCAAGGTATTAAAGAATTTTTGATAATTTTTTAAAAATTTATTTAATTATACTATAATAATTTAAATAAGCAATATTTCTTATAAATTTTTATTTTTTATTTTTTGTTTTTGAAGAGTGTATTAAAATCAAATATATATCAGTTAATTTGAATAGTTTTTTTTATATACTTTTTTCAGTCTTTCTAGATAAATCTATGGCTGATTGTAACCACATTAGTTGAGTTCAATTCTATACTATAATCATTTGTGGACATATTTTTTACAGTGTATTAGTTACTAGTACATAGCAGCTAGTAGCTTAGACTAGCCCTTGTTGCCGCCCAGTTAAATGCAAGTACTTTTTTCATTTTTGTATTTTGCAAAGGGCCGCGACTGCGACTGCGTCTGCGCACGAACAACGCATTTTTGTGCTTGTCATGCCGGTAATGACTGCAACAACAACAACATCGACGATAACAACAACAACAACAACAACTGCAAAACATAACATGCTACAAGTTTGGAGCTAGGCTAACTGCCCCAACTGAGCCATGAAAGCCAACCGTGCGCGTCCATTACCAAGTTCTACTTGCCCGCTAACAGCGCCAACTGCAACGACTACGGCGACGGCGACTGCGACGCCGACTGCGACTGGCGCAGCGACGTTGACGTCTTTAAGTTTTTGTTATGCTTTTCAAATTCTTTCGTGGCATTAAATGTAATGAAAAGCGGGCTAAAAAATGCTCGATAAGTAAAGAAAAAAAATATATATATATATATACGTGGTAATTATAATGGCTGCAAGACATGAAAACGCCACGAGTGTGCGTGTGTTTGGGTATGTATGCGTGTGTGTGTAGCTAATTTGATATCTAAGCTATAAGAGACTGGTGGGAGTTTATCTCTAAATTAGTTGTTTGATAATTTGTCTCATTAAAAAGTGCTTTACAGCTTATGGAAAATGAGAGAAAATGAAAAAAAGGTTTTCATTGGGAATGGGAAAACATGTAAGATTTCGGGTAAAGCTGAACTGCAACTATGAATTATGCTTATTATAATTATTCTGATGAAAATGAAAACGGTGTGATCTTCAGGCAGTTAATCAGGGTAGCAGCTAATTGTGGAGACAGAAAAAAGTATAAGAACTCTAGTTGGAAGTGCTTAACTTTGAGATACCTTGAACCCCGGATTATTGGGCATTCGGTTTACTCGATGACACTGAAATGGGATATGATGTATACGTATATCCTATGATATGATGTGTACGTATATTCCATTTCAGGGCCATCGATTATTATAATATTCTACAATGTCTAGGGATTAAAACTTGAGGTTATAGATCAAAATTTAAAATAGATTAAAAGTTTTTTGTTTAGCAATCGTATTGACTGAGAAGTCCCACTGTCCAATTTCGTTCTCTCTTTTCATACTACGCATATCGTGTAGACGTGTGGGCGCCTCAACCCCTTTCATTTCCACTTTCTAACCGAAAATTGCTAAATAAAATTGAAACTCAGCTATTCTCAACTAGCTATAGATACGCTCAGATTGTAGACTCTAGACTCGCGCAACTCGTTTGCCAGCGACAACAACAACAACAGCAACTCGCATCACTTTCTAACATGATTAGATGGCAGGTTGCTGTTTTTTCCTCCTCTTTTCCAGCCATACATAGAGTAATGAGCACTTTTTCTTCTCAAGTTGATAATTACGATGAAATAGCAGAAAAAACAATAACAAAAACAACAACACGGAACGCAACTCATTTGTTTAGCCCGAGGGGTAAAAGAGAATCCCAAGCATAGATGATTTGGACATTTAAAGGGCGCGTAGGGCCAGCTTAGGTAAAATATTTGTTTATACATCAAAATACCAGTAGCCGATTTCAATTATAGCTATATAAATTTATATGTGTGTAACCAGCCCAGGTAAAGCCTCCCAAAAAGCAGAATGAAAACGAGTTGAACCAGTGGAAGAACCGAGGTGATGAATTCTGACAGCGAAGCGTGGGAAACTGCGGCAAGAGGATCTTATGTAACCCATTGAAAATTGTTGTCTCTGACACTTATTAAATACAATGAGCTGTTGTAATTTTTAAGCAGATTTCTGGCAAGGTCTTATTTGCAAATCAATCAAAGTGTCTAGGAAAAGGAAAGAGTTGAAGGCGGAG